GCAAAATACATGTCAGCACTGAGAAAATGGCAGCATGTCAGCGCTCAGAAAAATCAAAGGTACTTTAGTTCAAAAGCACACTGCCACCATTTTCTCAGTGCTGACGTGCATTTTACCATTTATACAAATGCACGTGATGGCATGCCAGGCACGTCAGCTTGTGTGCGGAGAAGACTCAGTTAATCAAGTCTGCTCCAGTGCACCAGATCTCCAGATCATTGGAGCAGACAAAGGTACATATATAAATGCCCAGAGGTATTAGATTTAATGCACATTAATGAATGCACATTAATGCATGTGTAGACATGCTCAGTGATACCAAGGTGGTGGACTCACCCAACATGCTTAGCAAGACTCAGAAAGATAAATGCATGGGCCATGTGACAGGCCAGGATGGAGTCCCACACAAGAATGCTGGGAGCTTCTAAATGCTACTACTGCTTTATGAAAGAAGTATAATGAAGGAAGAGAGCGTTTAGTAATGCTATTTTCCATCATGGTTTCTGCACCACAAAGGGAAGCTGCGCTTCCCACAAATTAACTCTAATACTAGGGACAGACTTTAGACATAAACCAGTTTAAGTGATCAGAAACTGGTTTAAACCTGTAACAGAACAGCTGTTCAGTGCACATAAACCAGTTTGAAAATGGCTGAAATTGATTTGCGATAAACCTGGTTGAATGTAGTATCAGACTTAACTGATTTGGCTCAAACCAGTTTATGCAATGTCTGTCCCAGACTCATTCCTAGTTTAAATTAAATCAGACTCCCCAGCATCCCAGTATGCTCTCTGGGCTGGGCGGGGCTCTCTGCTCCACACCAGGACTGGTCCTCCCCCTGCTTCTTGGCAGCAGCTCCAGCAGTCTCTGCAGGTATCTGCCTGGCTTCTGCTCCCCCTGTCCCCTCCCCACTCTCTGCTAGGCAGGCATTCCCCTTCCCCCACTCCCCCACTGTCCCTCACAGACGTCTCTCAGAATTAACTAGCAGACCACATGCTGGCTACCTCTGAGCTGTGGCACATGGGACAAAGGCAAAATCAACAGATATCTGGTAACATCTCTCTGTTTTCTTAATGGGGTGATAAACACTGAGTTAGGGGTGATACACATTCCTTGCTGAGCTATTCAGGAAAGGGGGAACCCCTCCCTAATCAGAGCGTCCTGCCTGGGCCAGGCCCCCTCAGCTCCGCAATGTGAAAGAAAAGGAGGACTGCTCTAGCACCCCCTGGCTTCTAGCCTGAGCTACTGCAGGCATGTGCCTGCTTTTCTGGGATGCGTGTCTAGTTACAAACTGATTTAGCCTAGCCAGGTAAGACTTCAGTACACAATAAAGGACAAACCTTTTCCCCTCCTCCAACAATTAACTGAGGATGGGAATAGAATGCAAGTGATACAGAAAGATGAGGAAAGGGAGACAATAAAAAAAATGTAGCAGCTTTATTGCGTAGCTGCTCTACCCACCCCTTGAAAGGGGAACCCCATTCCAAGGGGTCTGGTTTGCAGATGTACCCATATCACTGACATCCCCTAGCTACCTGCGCTGGCATCTCCCCCAGTTGCTTCGTTCACTCATCTTAATCAAGCCACTGCTCCCAAGTCATTTATTTTTTCTGTTTAGCAGTAACACATTGATTTGTCAGTGCTAGAATGCAGCCCATCTGATGAGGCTCCTGCAGCACTTCCAGCAATTCATCCACTAAACCAGCCATTCATCTCTGTGCCTTGCTGTGTTTCTTCATCCATCATGCTGCATGACCATGCTTCTAAATCTTCCCTCCACACCTTCCCTCCCCTCCACCCCCACCATTTCCTTGTTGCTTCTTGCAGTGTGGTTTCACTAGTGTCTTTTTCTACCTACATCCTCCATGCATCTCTGCATCTCTCTAGTTTTTTTCTGTCTGCTTTCTCTTTTATTTAATCTGCTCTCTATCCAGGTATTGGTCCTACTGATGATTCCTGCTGGGAAAAGCTATGATTATAATTATTGAGAATACGTTCCTGGGTGACATTATTAGTCTGTCTCTTCCACTGATGAGTGTCTAAGGGCTCAATGGCCTGATTTTCCAAGTTGATTGATGTCATGGAGAGTTCTAGGATCTCACCACTGAAAATGATGCCCTTGGTTGGCATTAAAATGCACAATTTGAAGGCTTATCTATTTCAGGATTCCAGTTTTGCATTGAAAATCTTTTGAGATGAAGCTTGTTCATGAGATTCAGTATTTTCTTTGATCCAGCTGATCAGAAAATACCATAAAAAGACTTCCTGAGGTATTTCAGCATTACTGCTTTGAATTGAAACAGGAAATGCAGAAGCAAGTGCAAATGAAATTTGATTTAAAAAAGGAAAATGCCCAACAACAAAAAAAAACACTTTCACATTTTAAATGAAAACTCAATGACTCTTATAGCCAAAGCGCTTTGCTTATTTCCAGTTCTCAGCAGTCCACCTTCTTGGAGTTGATTGCCTCTATAGAAAAGTTCTTCTGCAGTATGCATTATGCATGTCATACTGGGAGAAACCAGAAATGGAGTTACCATGTGGTCCCCAAAACCACTGCTCCTAAAACATCCTCCATTAGGGGTGCTGGGAGATTCTAGGACAAGGGAAGATGATCCTAACTGTTAGACCTCAACTCCATGCAATGCCCAACGACTACGGAGACAACAGACTAATGCCATCACACATCACCTGCACACATTGCTCATCAACAGCTTTATTCAAAATGGAGACAGCTTTGGACTAGCTCCAACAAACCGGGGAGCTGCAGTGAACATTATTTTTTTCCCATATTTATACACCTTGGTGTATGCTTATTAACATTTACCCCACTTTGTCTCTCCTTTTTTCCACCTTAGTTATTCCCATTTTAAGCTTGCCTCTGTTTACTGCTTACTTAATTAGCATGGAATTGCCTATGCATTTCACTTATTTACATATCTTTTTGCTATGAGCACATGCTTAAGACCCTAGCACCTCTATTTCAGTCATTTGGGTGGACTTCAAACAAAGCCTGGAAGCTTCTGGAGGCTTCTTTATCAATCACCATTCACCTTTTCATATATGTTTATCTTGGATTCTGTTACCAGTTACGTGTTGTCTTTTACATTCCAGTCTGTTTTTCAGTACCATGTTGTACCATCTCCATATTCCTAAGACTTCACCTCATTTATAGCATGCAGATTTACACAGACTCACTTGCTGCTTTTTTCAGAAAATGGTTGACACAGTTACGATGGCTACTTAGCATAAGCATTCATAAGCAAAATCGGCTTTATCTCCTAATGATCTATATATCTTACAAGACTACTATATTGTTATGAAAATGCTTGCCTAAGTGTCTTGCAGTGTTACTTTTAACACACCATTCTGCCTTGTGGTTAGCAGCTCTGCTAGGCCACAGGTTATAGCCTTTTTATTCAGCTACAAATCCAATGCTTCCCAAGATCCAAATACTGTCACCCTAACAACTAACTAGTACTCCTAAACTATTCCCTATACTGACTGCTGTTTTATAGAAGCAGAATCATAGAATCATAGAATCAATGAGTTGGAAGGGACCTAGACAGATCATCTAGTACGACCCCCTGCCGTGGGCAGGAAGGAGCACTGGGGGTGGTAGGGGTCATAAAACCCCAGCCAGGTGCCTATCCAGTCTCCTCTTGAAGATTTCCAGGGAAGGTGAGAGCACCACCTCTCTGGGAAGCCTATTCCAGGCTCTGGCCACCCTTACAGTGAAGTAGTTCTT